AATTGACCATGGATGCCAAGCAGAGGCCTTCTCTTCATATCAAGGGCACGATATGCAAGAAAGGCCAATTGTTCCACTGTCCCAATCACCCAAGCCCCAAAGGGAAGAGAAGCAGAGCTGTGACGTCAGGACAGGAGAGTTAGAACTTGCTGGTGTAGAGGGTAATAATCCACTTGGGCATGCGGAGGAAGCTGGGCAAGTAGGAGGCCAGCCAGCCCAGTCTGGAGACATGTGAAAGAATAGAGTGCAAAGAAAAATAGTCTTGGATAGGGCGACCTGGGAACAAAAAAGGAGAATTTGATCCTTGTTTCCCACTTCTCAGGCACTCTGACCCTGGCTAAAGAGACTGAGAGAAAGGAGTGAGCAGGGAACAAAAGAAATGGCAGTCAAGTCTGGCTGCTGGGCCCAGCTCTTACCATCCACATCTTGAAGGCCATAGCGTCGAGCAAGGTCACATGATGGTAGCACCTTACCACTCAGACTCAGGATATTGGGGTCTGTGGACAAATGTACAGTTGGAGATAGCAGGCATAGGAGTGGTGCAGAGTGACAAGGTACCCACTAGGACAAGGCATTGCTGAGACAGGCTGGGAGGCCTGGAGAACTGTTTCTCTCGGTTCCTAGGAAGGCTCTTAGCCACACCTTCCAGGAGCCAGTTGCTGAGGCTTGCAAAGCTTGAACTAGGAATCCTGACCCTTGAGCTTCCAAAAGAGAAAAAAGATGGGCATATTCTTCAATAGCCTCCCAAACCAAAACTAGACACTGGCTGCCACTGCCTTGCAGATCCTCCACACCCTTTCTTGTTACCAGGTGTTTCCAGTGTCTTCACCTGTTGCCAGAGCCACCACACATTTGCCACTCATTTCTGTACTTTCTGCCGACGAGAAATTTGGTCCAAACTGAAAAATTGATTGAGAAGTAAAGGGTTAATTTCCAAGAGTACTGCCCAAATCTTTCCTCCTTGAGGGCTGGAGGTGTGGCTCAGAGGTAGAGTGCTTGCCAAATCTTTCCCCCTTTTAACTTCTGTTCTAGGAGAAAGAGGGACCAAAGATCTCATGCTGGACTTGCAGGATCCAGTGTAATAGAAGGGACCCAGAGCCATTTCTCTCCATGTTCTGGCAAGCCCTGCACCCAGCACTACGACATGCTGCCTTTCCTGAGTAGAAGGGTCTGAGGGTGTCTAGATTTTTAATTTTTTTTTTTAGTGGTAGATGGAAATAATACCTTTATTTTGTTTATTTAGTTTTTTCTTTTTTTTTATGTGGGGATCAAATCCAGTGCTTCACACATGCTAGGCAAGTGCACTACCACTGAGCCACACCTAAGCCTTGAGGCTAGTTTAATGCAGGGGTCAAGTCCATGGGCTTTGGAGTTAGATAGTTTTTCCATTTATGACATGTATGATCTGGAACAAGTTTTTTCCTTCCTTCTCTTTCTTCCTTTTCTTTTTTGGTGCTGAATATTGAACCCAGGGCTTGCACATGCTAAGCACATGCTCTACCCACTGAGCTATATCCCCAGCCATGGAACAAGTTTCTTAACTCTTCTGGGTTTCAGTTTTTCAATATGTAATATGGAGATTGTATTTTCCTTACAAAATCAAAAGAAATAATATGTGTATGGTGCTTAGCCCTATGCCTGCCCCAGGTAATGGGAATATTTACTTGTCATTGTCTTGTCATTGAGGATGGAGAGGGTGATTCCCCTACATTCTCCATTTCCCTTCCCCTCCCTTTACCAACCTGCTTAAAGAGAGAATCTTCAGAGTGCCCCTTCTCTGCCATGTAATCCTTTAGTAGTTCTGTCTGTACCAACCCTGGCCACAGAGATACGTAACTGACTCCATGGTGCCTCAGCTCATGGGCACAGTCAGCAGCCAATCTGTCACACTTTGGAGGGATAGAAGGTAGAATGAGAGTCAAGGCACCTGATCATGTCACCTTCCTCCCCTGCCCTTCTTGTCTCCAATGGGGATGCCCCAGGTCCTTGCACTTTACCAAGAGCCCACTTTCCCCCATGCAATATCTACTCTGGCAAACCTAGGGAGTCCAAAAGGAATCATTCATGGAACAAAGGGAGAGATGAAGAACAGTCAGAATTATCATTCTGACCACTGGGTATTGTACCTCCCAAGCTGTAAATATCATCACTGTCCTATCTCTCCCTAATCCCTGTGCCACTGTGTCCTTACCGCAGCTTTGCCCACACCATAGGGGACGTTGAACATATACTGCAGACCTCCAGGGGAGGAGATAACCACGATGAGCCCCCGGCCAGCTGGTACCATCAGCCGTGCCCCATATACTGAGCACAAGTAGTGGCCTCTAGCAGGGAAGAAGGAGGAATGAATGGTACAGATGCTGGCCTTGACACTACAGCCCTTGGCTGCCTCCTGTGCCCTCTAGTGGCTGCAGTCAGCCAGGGAGGCTGCATAGGGCTGGAGGCCACATTCTGGGAAGAGAAATGGCAATCTTTAGAAGACCAAAAAGCCATGTTACAATGGCAATTATAAATATAAAATAGTTCAGGGGAAAGAAACTTAAGAAATGTATAGGGTCTAAATGGAAAAATTCTAAAACTATAAAAGAACAAGTGCAGATAAAATGATCCAAAGAATTGACATATAAAGCATCTGTTCTATGTAAATTAATTCACAGATGTAGTCAATTTGAGTTATATCTCAATAAGACTTTTTGGAAGAACTGACAAAATAAAGATCAATGATAAAAATAAATGTGCAAGGACAGCCAGGAAAATTCTGAAAAATAATAATAGTATCTTGTAGGTAAAGGGGGTTTGCTACCTGCACTATCACCATATTAAAATGTACAATGACATAATAATCAAAAGAATGTAGTATTGGCATAAGGTGGACAAGTTATGCCAAAGGTATCTGTTAATGAAGTAAGTTAATGAAATAAAAACAGTCAATAAATAGATCCAGGTGTAAGTACATACATAGCATAAAGGGAACATTTCAAATCAATGGAGAAGAGATGGACAAGCGACCATTTACTTGGGTTGGAAAGAACTGATTCTCTACTATATTTCAAAATGGACTGCAAAAGGATCAAATATTTAAATATAAAAAATTGAATGCACAAAAGTACTAAAAGAAAACCTGATTGAAATTATAAACTTGAGGTAGGGAAGGCTTTCCTTAGCATCACACCAAGACAGAAATTATAAAACAAGATTGACAGATTTAGCTGGACACAGTGATGCAGGCCTTGTAACCTAGCTACTCAGGAGGCTGAGGCAGGAGGATCATACGTTTGAGGCCAACTTCCCTGTCTTGAAATAAAAAATAAAACAAAAAAAGGCCTAGGGGTGTAGCTCAGTGGTAGAGAATCCTTGGGTTCAATCCTTGGTACAAAACAAACAAACAAAAATCCCAAACAACCCAAAGATATGACTTCTTAATAGTTAGGACACTCATGGGGACATGCGCACGCGTACACACACATACCACACACACACACACACACACACACACAATTTCTGTATATGTAGAGAGACTAGAGAAGGCTATGCATACAAAAAATGAGTGACAAATTGGGGAAAATATTAGTACAATATATGCCAAAGGTATCTGTTAGAGATCTCTTATAAATCATTGTGAAAAAGAATAACTTCATAACACAAATGACAATCACAAAAGTATAAAAAGCCAATAAACAATGGGATAAAAGGTCAACCTCAAAAATAGATAAAGTAATATCAATTAAAATCACCTTTATGGTCAGGCACACTGTCACAAGCCTGTAATCTCACTTACTTGGAATGGTAA